GGTGGTGGCAGGCTCAGGGTGACAGGTGAAGGATAAGGGCTGGGGGTACACACAAGTGTGCTGGGGAGGCTGCTGCTGCTCCCCAGCCCCTGGAGCAGCCCAGCCCCTTGCTGCAGCCATGTGTGTCCCAGCTGCTCCCACTGAATCCTGTCTGGGGGCAGGGAAAAGTTCACTCGTGCCCAGGGCCCACTGATGGATGCACTGCCTGCCAAGGCCTCGCTGTAACAGCCCTGCTGCTGCTGCTCCCTGTGCTGTGACACAAATGCAAGCTTGTTTTGTCTCCATCAAGGTGAGCTGGAAAGGTGGTGGTGGTCAGGGCTCCTCAGGAATGGAAATGGCTGAGTTAGCTGGATTTAACTGAAAACACACAAAGAGCAGCAGGATTTGCTGCCTGGTCATTTGATCCTGCCACTTAGGACTGACCCACTTGAAGTCCCCACGTGTGACAGAATCACCAAGTGATGAGGACAGGATTAGAGCCCCAAATGAGATTATGCTCCTTGGTAGGGGCAGGGAAAAGATCTGTGTTGAGCACCTAGCAGGGGCAATAAACCAGATATCTAACATTCTGCTTGCCTAGTGAGCATCAAAAATAGACTCTCCAGAGAGAGAGAAAACACCCCAGTGAGCCAGCTGGGCAGAGCCAGGGTGCCTGGGACACTGACAGCTCCTCAGCCTGTAAAATGAGCTGGCACAGGCCCGTGCCAGCATTAGCACAACTGTGGCTTCAACACAGAACAGAGCAGGGGCAGCAGCAGGAGGAGGGGAAAGGAAGGACAAGCCTGCAGTTGGCTAACTGAAACCAAGGGGATTTAAGATAAAAAAGGGAAAGGGACAGAGGATCAGAGCTAAGGAAGGTGTGGCTGTGCACAGCTTGCAGCTTCTTAGCCTGCAGTAAATATACAAGCAGCAGCCTGTCACACACCAACGGAAATCAGAGAGGCAGATGCATTGTGCTGCACGAAAAAAAAAAGATGAAGGATAAACAGGACGGATTAAAAAATATGATGGACAAAAAGAATAGATAAAAAAAACATGATGGATGAAAAGAATTAAAAGAAGGGCCTTGCCCAAAGATCTTATCGTGAAAGACAAAAGACCATGATGGATCACAGTTCAGACAGAAAGGAGAGGACAGGGCTGGGCACAGCATGAGACATGTTCTCTCAGGTACAGGAGCCTTTAGATTTCAGCTAATTTACTGAAAACAGATCTGTACAGAGTCCCTTTGCAGCCCAGCAGCTCACTGTGTACTGCCACCATGTGAAGTTGATTTGCAAAGCCTGAAGGTCCATTTCTGCATACAAAAACATCTTTTCCTCACCCACTAATCCAAGTGAAGCAGTAAATAATCCTCACATTCACTTGCTGGTAAAAGCCATGTTTTCCATGGAAGCTGCAGGAGCTCAGTGCTACTGAATAAATCATCACCTCCATAGGTTCCAATTGTAACACAATCCTTTAAAGGCTGAAACCAAATGAACTCACTTTCCCTTCTACACTCAACACATCACAGACTAGCTGGATACCCTTAAATCTTGGCATTGGGAAAACATGAAAAGCCTTAGAAATAGTATTCTCTTTCCTCCTTCCCTGGAAACTTCTCCCTAAGGACAGCACTGCAGGCTGGTGTGGCATCTGTCTGCTCAAAGTGTTTTCCAGATAATTACTCATTTACACTTCTCTCAGGCAGGATAATCTGGCCCAGTTATACCTTCTCAAGTGAGCAAGGAAGGGCATTGACACAGAGCTGACAGTGGCTGAACACCAGGGCAAGAGAAACAGCTCCTGCTGTATCTCACAG